ATAGATGGAAATGGCATCAAGTCCATAGATGGAAATGGAATCAAGTGGAAACCGGCAGTTGATTGGTGTCTTCCCGTCCCCTCCCATGCCAGGAAAGCAAAGGCGGCCTTCCAGACGTGGCTGTTTTATTCCACAATCAGAGGGGTTGTGTAGAGGGAATGCCGGATTCCAAAAGTGGATGCAGGCGCCCGGGGCTTGATCAGCGTCACCTGCAAGGGCAAAAAAAGGAAAGGCAGATCAGCAAGGGCCCTTCTCTTCTCTGCTGCCCTCCCTTCCTCTGCTCGGAGGTGGCACGAGGGCAGGGAGCAGGCCTGCTCTCCGGCACTTGGTCCCTGCGGCCAGAAGCTCTTTGGCCGGAGGAAGCCTCAGGGCAAGGGGGAGAGGCGTGAAGGCTGTGCTTGTGAAACAGAGGGGACGAGCAGAGCAGCGAGCTGCCTTACCCGGCCTATGTTGTAGTCTGCGGGCCCGGGCTTCACTGCTTTGCCCTCTGCAGGCTTTGGTCGGGCCGCCATGGTGTACGCGGGCGCCCTGGTCTTGTAGGCGTCCACAGCTACCTTGGGAAACGCCGCGGGACCCGGAGTCTGCAAGAGAGTCATGGGTGCACGGGGCTGGGATCACACGCAAGGCTCTCTCTTTCCCTGCAAGCCTGCGTTAAGCAAAGGTGCTTGGGGCTTGGAAGCCCCCTGGCACAGGGAGAGCAGCCCAGCTTCGGATGCTAACATGGAAAAGAGGAGCAGCAGAGCTCACCTTGGCAAGGTCTTCGTCAAAGCGGCCACGCTGGCTCCTTCCCCTCATGGAGTAGCAGGGGCTGGCCGCCGTGTAGGCTGTATTGGGGCCCATCAGCTTGGGCAGCGTGTAGGTGCCCGGACCTGCAGGAGGAGCAGCAGAGAGCGTGTGCGCGAGGGGCTGGAGGAGACGGAAGCAGCAGAGAGGGGCAGCCCGCCCAGCCTGCTGGGGGGAGGGCTCGCCCCTCTGCCAGTTCCTGCTTCTACTCCGGCACTGGGCCAGTGCCGGCAGCTCCGAGCCCGAGCAGCCGGAGCCGCTGCGGGCCGAGAGGTGCTGGTCACGCCAGAAAGCTTGCAGCCCCAGCGCTGCGCAGGCTGCGCGGTCGGCCCGCTGCTGGTGCTGAGCAGCAGCCCGTCCCTGCAGGATGCTCAGGATGAAGGGTCTGCCTTTGC